ATACCTGAATCAGGGCTTAATCATGCCTAGTGGCTCTATAAAACAGATATCCAACCAATAATGGAAGGGTGGACATCTTGTTCTTAATAGTTCCATCCCTAAATCATACCATTTAGTGAATATTCATTTTAGTGACATTTAAGTCGCAATACAAATTTTTCAATTGAAAATCAAGTTGAGCACCTCTCAATAAAACATTTGTTTCTCTCAATCCTCAAAGAATTTCTTCATGAAGTCTTTTGTGTTGAAAACGAAACTCAAAACCAAATCATAACATCATAGTTCGAATCCCAAATAATACTTTTCTTCAGAGAAATAAAAAAGTGACATTCAAGTCACAAAATAAACCATACTGCAAAATTCTATGATGAACACTATCTAGTAAAATTGTCTTTTCTCTCTACCATCATAGAGTTTCCCTTTCAAACCAATTTTGTTTGAAATTAGACACATAATAGTAACACATATATTTTCACAACCATTATATCACTCTGTTAAGTAGGCTTGATAAATATAATTATCCATGTCTTCAATGAATAACATACCAAATTGCAGAAAATTCAGGATGACCTCTTCAATCCAAAATTTTTATTCCTCTATTGCCATAAATATTTCTCTTTCAAATACATTTTATTAGAAAATAGACTCAGAATGGAAGTCTAAAAATTTAGTGCAGACCATAAAACATTATGTTAAGAATAGAAATTAAATCTTAACTTCCAAGTCATAAAAATAATTTTCGTTGCAGAAAACAGCACTTGCGCACCCTTCAATAAATTGATCATATGTTTCAAACTACAAGGAATTTCTTGATGAAACTTTTTTTTTTTAAAGTAGACTCAATTTTATGAGTCATAGTCCAATTTCAGCTAAAAATAAAATCAATGGTTGGTAAAAAAATCACGGAACTCAATGGACAGTTCTTGAATTTTGCATGGTCAGAACTGACACCCTTCATTGTTGAGTCCATAATTCTCAATTCCTATAGGATCTCCCACTGAAATTTAGCAGGTAAATCCTACTCTTAAATACACAAAATATGACTGAAGTATGTAATAGAAAAATAACTCATTATATTATTTATATCTCTACTCCAAAATAGCCCAGAATACTCATTATGCAGATCTTGTCTAGATTGGGGAAATGATCGAATGTCATGGTTTTGTACATTACAATGCAATCAGCTATAGCTATAAGGGGGAGGATGGTCTTTGGACCTTGACTCTAAGGCAAAGCCTTAGAGAAGCCTTGGGTAGGTCTTCAAGATGCCTTGGGTGGAAACAAGATATATGCGAGCCCTTGGTGGAAGTCCTGCTGGCTGAGACTTTAGATCCATCAAAAACATACCTGTTTTTCTTGTGTAGGATACAATCGTCATTTGACTTGGTTTCATGAGCAATCATGAAGAGTTTGGACCAGTAGCTGCCGTAAAGCCCATAACCAATAGAGGTATTTTGTGAAAGACCAAGTATAGTGATCCCTGATCACATTAGAAACTTCAGAGGTTGATTTAAGGACTTTAGAGGCCTTTTTCTGACCAAAATGGTAAGTGAAACTGGCATAACGCATTAAGGCTTTGTAGAACTCGAAGAGACCTTTCCAATGAGTGGTCATAACACAGACTATGGTAAGCGAGCAAAAAGTTATGCCTTCTGGATGATGAAGAGTTCAAACTATTCTTTACCAGACTAGTAGGCTGATAGGCAAGCTAACTTCACTCAATTAGGTGACCAAAGTAACCTCACCAAAAGATTAGGAACTTTTCTTTTTTGGGTAATTAATAGAGGCTTTTGGTTGAAGTAAGTTTCGCACACCGTTTGGAAGTGCTAGTAAGTGCAGTCTTACTAAAGTAAAAGGAAAATCTTAACATAGCTTGACCCAAGTAACCCTCTACACTCCTATTCTTTTTTTTTGAGATAAAGTTAACATTGCATTACTGAAATTGTTGTGTACAAGAATTGGTAGTTCGAGTTTACCTGCTAGGGGTGGATCGGTAAAAAACAGTCAGCGTATCATATGCAAGAAAGGGGGCTTATAGATTCTGCCCGATTTAAAGGATTTACATGAAGCTTTCAAAACTTACAAAAATTACAGGAGGCCTAAAATTGCCAACTAATACGCTATGTTGGAGAGCTGTGCCAAAGGTCCTGTGCAAAAAAGGAGTCGACCCACCCCTATTCACTCCTATTTTCCTCTCTCTCTCTCTCTCCCCACTTCAGTCACCTGTCTGTTAAGAAGAAAATAATCTATATGTACCTACTGTGGTTGTCTTATCCAGGCCAATACAAAGACCGGTGACATAAAAAAACAAATCTGTACTTCTATAAAAAAGTAGGATCAATTCGTAATGAAATACTTGAGGGTGCTGTCTTTAGTGCTAAAAAGTAGAGAAGATATTTGATCAAGGCGGATGGTTCAAAAATGGTTCTCTTTGGCAAAGAACTAAAGAAGTCAGTGTCACTTGCAAGGTTTCAAAAAACGCTAGGCAGCCCCTAGGCGCCCGGCATGGCGATCAGAACCTCAAGCGTCCTGTAGTACAATTTCTTTAGATATATACATATATGTGCTGTCCAAAGCACATATATGCATATATTTGTGCCGGTTTTGTAATTTCTTGCATTGGAAAATATTGTAATAAATTTTTTTATACACAAAGTCACAAACATATGACATATCGCATGTTGAGAATAAACTTGTTCAAAATTTCAAAATTCAAACTATACAATATTTAAAAAAGTTTAGAAGTTTAATAGGGCTATGTATTAGTATAGTCTCCAACTCTCCATATGAGAAAATAATTCCAATGAGAAAAGAAAAGTTTAAGAAGTTTCTTCAAACCAAAAAAATACTTTTGATTCTTAGAAATAGGTATAGCTAAGAGATTGAGGATTATGGAAGTGTTCTTTTAACTTTGGGGGTTGAAAATAACACCCATAACCCATTTAAACTTCCCCTATGCCCTTTTGGGCATCTTTAAAAATCGAAAAAAGTTCCATGTCCTTGGGTGCCCGCCTACGTACTGGGGTGTCCAAGTCTAGGCGTGCAGCTAGAGGTGTCTAGGGCCTGCGTAGGTGCCAGGCGGACCGTTTTTCAGAACATTGGTCACTTGCATGAAGCATGGGGAGGCACATCTCTATTGGGTGGAGCAATGAGGACCTCTTTTCTCTTGCCTCTAGGATCAACAAGAAAGGACAGGGAACCTCCTAGAAATTATATAATGATATGATGAATTCACTTTATGAATTTATGAAATTGTGCCAAGGAGGGTTGTATCTTGGGTTTTGCTTCGAGAACTCTTGTTCACCTTACTTGGTTAATCATCGGATAGACATCTTACTTGGTTAGTCATTGGATAGGGAGGGGTTAGTCATTGGATAGAGAGGTATTTGACTTTACATCTAGATCGGCTTTGCCTTGAACCTGGCTTGATACCCTAGACGGATCCTTGGACTGTCGTAATGTTGCTTTCTCTCTCTAACATTGAAATGGCATTTGGTATTGCTGTTTTGCAGGTTGCATAAAACAGAGAGCTTGAGCGAGGACCTTGAGTCTAATTGATGTACACAATTTCAAAACTATTTGTAATAATTGATGTACACAATTTCAAAACTATTTGTAATCTATGAAATATTAATGCATATGTGATTTCCACTTAACTATGACTTTCTGATGTCTCCCGTTCTCTCTAACTCTATCTCGACGAACTTCATGCAACTAGTTTAGCTAGAAGCTGAATTATCTATGATTGACAGATCATATTGGATTGTGACTAAGTTATAGTTGAGTTGGTCAAAAGCATTTTGGCTACAGGAGTTACTTTTCTAGGCCATCTAGATGCTGCTTGATTCCCTAAGATTTTTTGTTTGTTTGCACTACTACTCAATATTAAAAAACTTCTGTTACGAATAAGAGGAAACCCCATTTGAGGTTCTCATGTTTGCAATACAATGAAGAGTAAGAGGGAGGAGGGAGGTGAGGGAAAGAGGGCGGGAGGTGGGTGGGAGGGGAGGCGAGGGGAGGGGAGGGGAGGGAAGGGGTGTGGGGGTTGGGGGGTTGGGGTTGGGGTTTGGGGTTTGATGAGAGAGGACGGGAGGTGAGGTGAGGGAGGCAGGGTATTTTTCCAATGAATCTTAGTATATTTTTTCCAGTGTTGCTTTATTTAATTGAATCTTAGTATATCGTTGCCAATGTTGCTTTCACTAATTGTTGTTCCTGTATTTCTTCATAGTAAGAATTTTGCTGTAAGGCCAGCTCATTCATGCCCCAGTGCACCTCATCTCAATGCATTTCTCCTTATCCCTTGTCTGGCCATGTTTTAGATTGCCTCAACCTTGTACAAATTTCCTGGGTTGCTTTAAATTGACTCTGAGAAGCTATTTTTTTTTTTTCGCTTATTGTTAAATGTAATTCCTTTTGGAAAATCTAGGGGAGGGATATTGTTTGCAATGAAACTTTGTATGTTGTTCCCGATGTTGTTTAATTTAAATGAATCTTAGTGCATTGTTTCCAATGTTGGTGTCACTAATTGTTGTTCCTGCATTTGTTCATAGTCCATATCTTTTTTGAAAGTGTTAACTGTTCTGTTCATAGTCTATATCCTTTTCTTTGTTTGGAAAATTTGAGAATTTTTCTCTGAGGCCTTGGCCTTGTGCTTCACTGCACCTCGTATTGATGCATTTCTCGTTACCCCTTGTCTGGCCTTGTTTTTAGACTGCCTCAACCTTGTATAACTTCCTTGGGTTGCTTGAAACTGATGTTCTCTGCTATTGTTAAATGTAATTCCTTTTGGGAAGTCTATTGTCTTAATTGATCGTGTGTCCCTTAACCTTCAATAATATGTTTGTCTTTGGTATTCTTGAACTTTTTATCGTTTGCATCTCCTTTACATTTGGTTAATTTTGACTTGACTGGCTCTGCTGAAACACCAATTTACTTACGTTACTTTCTAATGCATCATTTCAATGAATCTATTTTGATCATTTGATTACTGCAAACTTTAGCTTCGAGAATTGGAAAGGGGTGTTGATATTCTTGTTGCGACACCTGGGCGTTTGGTGGATTTGCTGGAGAGAGCAAGAGTTTCATTGCAAATGGTGAAGTATTTGGCTCTTGATGAGGCTGATCGAATGCTTGATATGGGTTTTGAGCCTCAGATACGGAAGATAGTTGAACAAATGGACATGCCTCCACGAGGAATGAGGCAGACAATGTTATTCAGTGCTACCTTTCCTAAGGAAATACAGGTCAGCTTTGCCCATCCTTAAATGATATCCTGTAGTATGGGGCACTTGTCTGTTCTCTGCTATTCTCTATACCCATCCTCCTGGCAACATTGATTCCCCATGAAATTTTGTGTCATAGCAAAAATTGGAATCTGTGTATTTCATTCCCCTACTACTCAAGACATGCTTCTACTTTCGTGGTGTTTCACTCTGCAGAGATTGGCTTCGGATTTCCTTTCAAATTATATTTTCCTAGCTGTTGGGAGGGTTGGTTCTAGCACTGACCTGATTGTTCAACGAGTTGAATATGTTTTGGAATCAGACAAGAGAAGCCACCTTATGGATCTTCTTCATGCTCAAAGAGCAAATGGAACTCATGGCAAGGTAATGCCGAAGTGCCACAATGGGTGTAGTGCTATCTATGATTTTTCCCTCGGCATCGCATTTAATGTACAGCAGACTGCTGGATGGATATGTTCTCTTATCTTTATTTTGTTTTAATTCTATTAACGATACTGTTAATTTATTGGATTGAGGAGTCTTAATGTGTTAATGATCATATCATACTGCAGCAAGCTTTGACTTTAGTCTTTGTGGAGACAAAGAAAGGAGCCGATTCATTGGAGCACTGGTTATGTATGAATGGGTTTCCTGCAACTACTATTCATGGTGATAGATCACAGCAGGTTCGTTGAAAATTTTCTTGTAACATTTCTTTGACATTATGCTCTCAATGATTATATTATTGATTTGCTGTATCATGTTTCTTACCGTGCTAAGTTCTTATCTATTTGCTCTAGGAGCATCCTTTTTTCTTTTGTTTATCATGGATAATCTATTCCTCAAAATATTCTCATAGGCATTACTAATGCTTAACTGAATGGGTCACCTCAGGAGAGAGAACAAGCACTAAGGTCCTTCAAAAGTGGAACAACCCCAATCTTGGTGGCAACTGATGTGGCAGCACGAGGCCTCGACATTCCCCATGTGGCCCATGTTGTGAACTTCGACCTGCCTAATGACATTGATGACTATGTCCACCGTATTGGCCGCACGGGTCGTGCAGGCAAGATGGGTCTTGCCACTGCCTTCTTCAATGACAACAATGCCTCCTTAGCACGTTCTCTCTCCGAGCTCATGCAAGAGGCCAACCAAGAGGTGCCCTCTTGGCTTGCACGTTATGCTGCTAGGTCATCCTATGGTGGCGGAGGGGGCCGAAACAGGCGGACTGGTGGTGGTAGGTTTGGTGGGCGTGACTTTCGAAGAGATGGCCCTTCACGTGGTGGTAGTGATTACTATGGTGGTGGTGGTGGTGGCAATAGTAGTGGTATGGGTGGTGGGTATGGACCATCTTCTGGTTATGGTGGTGGCGGTTATGGATCAGGCGTTACCAGTGCTTGGGACTAACTTCCTCCATTCTATCTCTTTTGCAAACTTTTTTCTTTTTGATTTTGACAGAGATGTGCTCTCACCTTATAGGATGAGTATTTTTTTCCTTCTTTCTTTTTGTGTGGTGGATTATATATATAATACATGGGAATTGTAGGTTTTGTAGCTCCACCATCTAGTCTGGGTGGTGGTGGTGTTCTAACATAGCATATTGTAGGGATTTTGAGGTTGTATTTTTGGTGGGTGGGTGGGTGTAGAATATGGTGTGAGGAAGGGGTTATGTATCTTTCATCTCAGACTGTATTCTTAACCAGATATCAGGGATGGATTCCCAAGAGGTTGCTGAGAAGGAGAGTCCTTTCTTTGTCTTTGTAAAATTTTTGTTGATGGGAAATAAGTTCCCAGCACCTTTGAGGAGTTACCCTTTCCTTGACGGTAATAATGCATTGTGTTTGGCTTCTTGTCTTAGTAAAGCAGTAAAAGTCTATCACTGATTTTGGGAGCCAAGGAATTAGTAATATTCAGGATGATCAACTGGGTACTGTTAATCGACAATCCACTTTGGTGAAATCACCCTGCTTCTGGGAATTGTGAGGCTGGAAATACTTGGTGATTTTTAAGATTTGGGCTTTAGCTTGATTGGTTAGTTGTTTAAAATTGCATTACCCAGCCCCCCTGAGGCATCCAATACCCCAAAGAAAGTGAAGGTGCTGGTTTGGATGCACGGAGAGGAGACACATTCGATAAGGAACTCGTCATATTGCTCATGAGGTTTGTAGTTTTCTGTAAGACTTTGCACAGCGCAGGTTCCAATGGCGTTTGCTTTACTATGATTTATACAGGTTTAATATGTCCCATTACATGTTTAGGTAGCAGTAGTCATTCATGATATTATGCCTTTCGGTTGTTCCTGTGGGGATAAGTTTGCGTTTAGGAGAGTGAAATTTATGTTGAATGTGGCAAAATTTGCCAGCCGTGTCTAGGTGTGGGAAAGATAAATGCAGATTGAATGTAGGAACAGGCAAAAACCAAAGGGTGGTCAAGAAATCAAAAGATAATTGAGTAACTATGCTTCTCCTTTTTCTCTCTTCCTCTTCACAGTTTTTTGCCTCAGCCTCCCTTTCACTCGTCACTTTTTTGTACAGGAATCCCTGCGGCTGCCATTTTTGGACCTTAAACACTTGCGTCTTTTGTCATGGGCTTTGAGATACCCCATTTTCTTGTATAGAGCTACCCACCTGTTAATAGCCTTTTTTGATGAAATGTAACCATTTGTACAATGGGATTTGTACAATGGGAGCAGTTTGTATAAAGCCGAGGCTCTAAACAATCAAAGTAAGCGCACCTTCAAATGGTGTTGAGAAATGTGGTGTTAGTATTGGAAATTTTTGTGATAGCCTTAAAATATATTATCATCTCTAATTATAAAATTAAAACTTCAACAATAGTGTAGATAAACTTGAAAATCTAGGAAATTGACGAGCCAAAAGTGTATTATAAAATGCATTATTTTTAAAATTTGAAATCTATTTTTTTTCTCATGTGCATGTATCTTAATGTCAAGATGATCAATTTGAGGATATTTGGGTATCAAAACATTTTTTAATGAAATTTTTGAGGTGCGTCTATTTGATTGTTTAGTGCCTCGCACATAAATAAACTTTTTCCATAATTAAGCAGGATGGTGTGTAAACATCTTTTTCCCAATTTGAAATCTTGATTTTTCATTGCCTTTGACCTTCGGCTTAATCTTTTCTGAATACTCAAAAATCTCACAAAGTATAATTGCACAACAACCTACTAATCCTTTCCGTACGTGAGAAATACTGCGGATTCTATGTATTTTTACCAATGTTAAAAAATTTAGCAGAGTGGATCGGAATCAGTGGACCAGGTCCAGTTTGGCCAAAATATCAAAAATTGACTGGTTCCCACCTTTTATTATTATTATTTTTTTTTTTGATTTTTTGATTTTGTTCTATTTTTTTCAAATTTTGTTTTCTCTAATTTATTTTAATTTTTTATTCAACGGTTGACCACCAATTATGTGAACCATACCAGCTTTCAGGATGGCAATCTGGGTTACCAATCTATTTTTTTAAACCTTGGTATTTACTTTAACATTGCTCTCCGAGGTGCACTCCACCAGAATGAAAAAGTAACTCATTAGGACAAAATGCTCTCCGAACAAGGTTCATAGAAAGGCAACTACTTTCTCTATGACACTGGCATTATTAAGACCGATTGGTAGTTAATAAAAAAAGGGGCCAAGCTCTCCCTATTTCTGGCTATCTTGCGGAATGACACTCTGAAACCATAAGAATCTTTCACAACGTGCTTATGTGAAGCTCATTTATCCTTAAACCTACATGAAAAAATAACTTTCCCAATTTTGGCTGATAAGCTTGTATGGAAACACGATCACACTACTGAAACTGACATTCACATACTCTTTTGGAAACCTGATTCCCTGTGAGGATCTAAAATCATTCTGCAGAAAATGTCATCTTAATATGAGTGTTAAAAATTAGGGCAATAAGTAAATAAGCCACAATTGCATCCCATGCTGGCTGAAAGTTAGAAAAGAAAGTTCTCCAATGGTAACTAATTGCAGACTGTGAACGAGTGAAAGAAGCAGGTAAAGCAAATGAATCTCCTACCAACTAAAATGTATATATTGTGAAGAATTTACAAGTAACAAAGAAGAATTTTGGAAGGTTACAAGAGTTTCTTTTGCCTGCTTAGTGTTTGGTTTTAGCTTGTAATAATATCTTTCTACCCAAGCAATGGCTCGAGTAATTGTTTTGAATTAGCAGGGTCAAGTTTCATAGTGTATGTAACCAGTACTCCCAGAAGGGCACATAGTGAAGGAACCAAACCCAGTCCATATCTGCTGATTGATAGACAATGTCCAAAGACATAGCAGCTCTTGAAACCTCGATCAGAACCTGCACGTAGAAGATAGATAATGTCAACATATTTTCCTCCCCAACAGCCTGTAAAGAAGACACTGCCTAACTGTTGCTTAACGTCTATATAGATTTTGGTTAAAAAGAAGAAGAACCACTTTAGAAAGTGGAATTAGTCTGTATATATAAATAAGAAACAAAGTGTCCATATCAGTAGGAAGCCACAAGCAGAAAGAATTGAGGTAGGTTCCATGTCAGAGTCAGGACGTCAGAAGGGCAGAATCATGTCTTTCTTAGGGTATATTGAGGGATGGTACAGCGCCCACATCATGTAAACATTTGAAGGGTGCACAAGCACCCTTCAATGGTTCAAATTGTACTTGGCATCAACCCCAATGGCCCAAAAAGAGTTTCGTAATTTTTTTTATTACAATGATATTTATCTGAAATTTTGGGTATAGATGTATTGTTATACACCACATAAAATAAAAATAACAAAATACATCTTAATAAAAAATTGACCAAAAAACCTTTGCAACAATTTAAGGTTATTTTGGTCAACTTTTTTGTTCAAAATATTTTTATTTGGTTCACCTTATTAAAAGGACATCTATAACCCAAATTTCAAATAAATATCATTTTAAATAAAAACTAAAAATAAAAAATTAAATTCTTTTATGGCTGTTGGATGTGGCCATGTTTAATCTGTTGAAAAGGTGCTTGTGCACCCTTACACTGTCCACGTGATGTGATGTGGAAGGGAGACCTTCCGTATTGAAATCTGAAACCAGAGTTTTGGTTGGTGATTTTCTGATTGATTAGACCATTAACACATGAATTATATATGCATAAATGATATAACTTTTTGTAAAACCAATCTAAAAAGCCGAGGTTGATGCTTATAGCAGACTCTTATGTAGGATAACCTATTAGGAGCCATACATAAAAAGGCAACTTCCTGACAACAAAATTGCACTTCATATAACACAAGATGAAATATATGAACCGATGGGAACCGTGAATTTTAAAAATTTGCAAATAAAGATATCATTTATTTGACATATCAGAAGCTAAGACATTTGTATTGATACTTTAGTAGTGGCCCCTTGCATGATGTCATGGGCTGTCAGTTCAATATATGAATGTTTCTGGTTAATAACACCTTAATTGATTTTGTTGAATGGTTTAGGCCAACAATAAAAGAAATATTTGCTAAAAGACACAAAATTCGCACAGTGATTATTCCTCCGAACCGTACCGATGGCAATAGTTTTAGAAGCACATTTCAGTGGAGGGAACCCTGATGCATAAAAGGAGAACTAATGACATTTTCTATAAATGTTCATAGCTTGCAGTTCTCCATCCCTACAACAAGATGAGCGTGCATCAACAGTGTCTAGCGGAAGCATCTGCTCCAGGATTATTTTTCTTTCTCAAAAATCTTTCTTTTCTCAAAATTTGAAGAAGAAAAACTACTTGCCCTAAGAATAACAAATTTGTAATTCATAGATAAACAACAAAAAAGTTCTGATGTGGAAAAGAATAGGCAATTTTGAACCTTATTACCCACTTGCACACTTGCGCATGTAAGAACCAAGCTTGGATTTTGTGCCCACAGGAAAGCAGGGCCACAAATTGCCTACAAGATATATTACAAGAGAACTCATGCTGGCCCATGATCAATTATACTGCTTCAAAATAATCCTATACTACCCATAAATTTCCCTCCAATTGGATATTTGCCATTTACAAGTAATCATAGGCCAGGCAAATTGACTTGATAGGAAACCAAGTCACAGAAAAACTTTCAGAGCTTCCCAAGGGACTTGGTCAATTCATGCATTGATATCACCAAATCTTTTATGTAATAGACTCTCATGGGTTCCCAAACCCTACTTTTCTAAAAGAGATCTAAAAATTTCTTTTTCTTGGGAAGAAAAGTGGTTTCTCTAAATAACCAAAAAAAAAAATCTAGTTCAGAAACCGCTTTTGTCGCTCTAGTGCATATAGAGGAACTGTTTGGCTCACTATTGTTGAACTGAAACAACTATGCCCCTCCCAGACTATGATCTACCTAGCTCGGGGAGAGTGGATGACAGACGCTTTGTCCCTTTCTGGCAGTACAACAATATTTTGCCTATCAGTGATAGGGGGCAGACGGCTGCTCCTTCCTCATTGAGCACATGTCCGCCTACTATTTGAGATTGCAATAATATGGTGCAATCTATATGCTTCTATGGGCTGGGAAAGATGGGGTAGGGGCACATGCCCATAGATCCAGCCAAGTTTGCATCATGCTGTTGCAGATCTTGAAATAGTGGGTGGAAATGCCAAGCCTTGGGTTAACCAGGAAGGAGTAGACCTCAGCCTCCAATGAATGACAGGCAATATTGTTGAATGGCACAGAGGGACAGAGCATCCTAATCCACTCTCCCCTAATTAGGTGGATCATAGTCTGGGAGGGGCAAACCATTTTTAGTTCAACAATAGTGAGCTAGACGGTCCATCATGTGCACCAGAGGGACAAAGCGGGTTTCGGGATTCCGGGATCCTCACCAAGATATATATATATATATATATATATATATATAGAGAGAGAGAGAGAGAGAGAGAGAGAGAGAGTAGTACGACGGACGAACGACGACGTAGGAGGAAGGAGAGACGACGACGACGACGTAGGTAGTTACGTAGTAGTACTACTAATAACTACGTACGTACGTACTATTAGTAAG